CTGGGTCTTGGGATGAACAATTCCACATAGGTGCCTTCTCTAAAGTGTAAGCAGATGTGCTCTGGGAGCATGATGGAGGGAGTATTTTATGGGGAGCATGACAAGGCATTCCACAGGAGCTCTTTACATTGCTTCAGCTTGACCCTTTCCCTTTAAAAATTGCCAGGCATTTCATACTAATTATATGCAAACCAATTACAGCAAAATAAACCTCTACAGGTTGAGTTTGCATCCCTCATTTTCTTTTTTATCAGCCAGGACTGGTTAGATCACAGCTATGTAACATCATCATCATCAACAACAGCAATAACAGCACCAGGCTAATTTCTCACTCACTCCACAGGTGATTTGTGGGATGTTGGTGGGGGAAGTGTGTACCAGTCAGGGCTTCCAGATTTGCATGGATGGAACAGCTGTCTACCTAAACTTTGTGGCTGTTGTATAAAAGGTCTGGAGGCTGTCATAGTGGCAATTAAATGCCTCTGCTTAGTTTTGCTTGTGTCTTTGAACTTGTTGGAAGACTGTACCCAGGAGGCCGGAGACTGCAAGAGCTCCGTGTTTATTACTAGAATGGAACAGGATGAAGTATCCGGTGAACAGCACAGAGGGACAGGCACACTTACCATGATCATGGGTGCTTTCTGAGTCCCACGCACGCAAACCTTCCCCTCATGTTCTTACAGTTTTTGCTTCTGGAAGCTCTCACTTAGCTTGTAACACTGGCTTGCAATTCTGCTCTGTGTCTGATCTCTTTAAATATCACCTGACAGATACAGTGATCGGCCAATAAGACCCACTAAAAGTCCATCATCACAACGTGATGCTTTTCAAACCTCTGACATGATGTGGCCTTCACGTCTGACCTCTGCTGCCTCCCAGCCTTTTTTCTTTTTTCTGGTTCCCTGTGCTTCACTGCTGCAAGGCTTTTCCATGTCTTTTGTTCTGTCTAGAAAAATGCCTTGACCCCTATTACCACCCCTCTTATTCCCTACAAATACCTTGCTCCAACCTGGAGCATCTGTAATCCTCCTTGAAGATTTCCAAGGATGTTTCTTCCCCTAAGAAATGCTTTCTGACTTTCTCAAATGGAGTGAAGACTGTTCCCTCACTTGTAGCCAGCAGACCATCCTGTGTGGACCGTTCTCAAAGCACACAGTTTGTGTTTTTTAGATTTCATGCTCGCTTCACTTCAAGAATCTGTGCACATCTTGATGGCAGGAACACGTTACTAAGTCATCTGTTTTAGGAGAGAATAATTATGCAGTTCCTGGCATGTGGAAAATGTGAAGTAAATGTGCTATGCATAGACAAAGACTCAAGATATAATCACAACATCAAAGGCAGATTCTGCAAACATACAATGATATCTATCTATCTATCTATCTATCTATCTATCTATCTATCTATCTAAATATCTCAGAATATCTCAGTGTGTATGCTTGTTCTTGGGTGAGTTAACTATCATAAACTTCAGTTGCTTTCTCTCTAATACTCTGTGAGGAGTGCTTAATGGTTTTGCGTTTTTCTAGGCCTTGTTGGCCAGCCGACTCACTGATGTTTATAGTGAAGGCACTTAGCAGCCTGCAGCAGTTCCTTGGTGTTGCTGTGACAAATGATCGCACCCTTGGTAACTTCCAGCACTCCTCTGTTATCTTACAGCTAGGAAGGTCAGAAATCCAAAATAAACCTACTGGGCAAAGTTCTTTCTGGAAATTCTAGAGGAGTAATCCATTTGATTACCTTTTCTTATTTCTAGAAACAGTATCTCAGTGAGCCTTTCCTGTATTTTACGACTGACGCTTTTCCCTTGAAGGACCCTTGTGAATATGTGTCAGGATAATGTTCCAACTTAAGATCCTTAGTTGAATTGTGTGTACACTGCATCTAAGTGCAAGGAAAACAAAGCTGCAGAGTCACAGGTTCAGAGAACTGGGATTTAAACATTCTGGAGGAAGTGTTATCGTGCTGACTTGTGTGCTTTTCCACACATGTTAAAGGCTTGCTGTCATTTTATCCACAGGTTGGTTCTTAGACCTAGCTAAACTGTTTTTATTTTAGAGCCCAGACACTCTCGAGCCATACATCCTTGATGTGATATACTGTCTACTGATAGTCTAGCTTGAAAGAGCCATGCTTCCTTCATTCCAAAAGTGTGTTAGTGCTTAACCAGCCCTTTTGTGATGCTAGGATACATGCTGTGGTAAAAGAAAATTGAAATTTAAAAATATCTTGGTAGTACTAAGAAAAGAAAAAAAAACCACTTTTTTGTTTGCTGTTATTGTAGAGAAATGACTAACAGCTATTTTGAAATTACTATGAGCTAAGAGCTGTTTTTCAGTGTCTACACAGTAAGCATTGACTGGTGAGGTCTCTGCAGTGAGCCTCTAACTTTGTACTGCTTCTCTTTTCCTAATTTCATAGTACTTGAAACAGTTTGCCTTACTACCAGGTGGAAAGCGGCCATGATGGGATTTTAAAATGAGGTGTCCAAGCTGCGGACACTGTGCTGTGAACAGCAGCACCGTGAAGACTGGAAGGGAGACCAGGACGGGTGACTTTAGATTGAACTCTACTCGGGGCCCCTAGTGCTCAGGCTCTTTGTACTCCTCCTCGTGCTGAATTCATTTAGTACCACTGGCTTCTCATTCTTATGTTTTCAGAAGAATGCTTAGCAGGTGAGGACCGGCTATGTTGGAAGGCTGTCAGTTTCCAGAGGTGCCTGAAAACAGTTTTCTAGGAAGTTCCGTCTTTTAAAAGTGCATCCTTGAATTCTCCCGCCCAACACCCACTTTCTGCTCCATCTCTCCTCTTCTTTTCCCTCCTCTGCTTTCTCTACCCCACCACCTTCCTTCTTTCCTAAATATCCTCCAATAACGTCAACTTCAGCAACCGTCAAACATTATCTTTCTCTGTTTTCTGACAAATTGCTTTGCCACACAGAGCTAAGGGCTAGGAAACTGCTTGTTAATTTTAAAGAAACATGGTCTCTAAATTAGTATTTTCTACAAATGTTATTGTTTCCAAGGTCTCCTTAGGCCAAGCGGATGCCACCATGGTGAGGTTAAAAATATAAGCAAGATTATTAATAAGACTAGTGATTACAAAAACATTAAGGACAACTGCTGAAGCATTTCATGTGGCAAGGCCCTGATTTGTGTAGGATTAATTTGAGGTAGAGACGTATGGAATGGGCATTTTCTGGAAGTATGTTGACGAAGCTGGCCTATTCAGAGTTAGCATGGTAAGAATGAGCTCAGTGGATCTTAGTTACACAGCCACATTGCCAGAAATATGTTATCTGAATATGTCATATGATATCTACGAAATCTCTTTCAAGGTCTTAAAGAAAAACTATGCAGAAATAAGCAAAGAAAGGAGTAATTAACACAGAAACAAAATTGCAAGTAATGGCAAAACATACAAAATAATAAAGTCAATAAACCCAGATTATTAACTGCTCACATTCACAGACCGCAAAACATGTGATTCCTGGGCTTTTGCAATGCACTGTAAGTAACAATGACGCCTACATGCACATTTCTTGTGATCTGGGATAGATTTTGAATCACTTGAAGACTGAAGACAGTGGAGAGGTTGCTTCGCTTCTCTGCGTGTGCCTGACCTTTCCTCACCGCCACTCCTGGTTGAAGAGTGTGTTACCTGCATCATGCGGCTTGTTTTTGTGTCCAGTGTTTTATTTAGAAACCGTTGGCAGATGAAACTGTTGACGTTAGTTAGCAAGAGACAGCTGCTTTGCCATTTTGATTTTGGAGTTAATGTTTTCCTCATGCAGAGAAAACTTTTTTTTTTCGTAGACCGATAGTAAACATCACATTTACATTTCTTTTGTGTTTAATGGTCCATGGGAATATTTAGAAAAGTGAAAGTCAATTCACTGCAAATGGCTTTTGAATATAAAGAAATCTCCCTTGGGTGTTTCTCAGGATAGGTCAATATCACATTCATTTGCTTTCATTGTTGAACCTGACTGCAGTGCCGTGCTCACAGAGCGCAGTCTACTATCAGTTTTGATTCTGTTAAAACTACGAAATCTCTTTCATGGTCTTAAAAATCCTGCCTGAAAACAAATAAAGGAGTTATCAATAATCTTCCATTTGGGTCTCTGTCTTGTGAATGTGGCCAGTCAATAATCCAAGTTCATTGAGCCTTTCTTACGTCATACTCATATGTTGTTTTTGTTAAAGACAAAAGTAATATACCTTCTCCATTTATTTTGTGCTAAAATACGGGTTTAATTCTTTTTTGCCTTCTATAATATTTTGTGGTAAATATTTGAGTCTGGTTATTTTTATTTATCACAAGATTTAATCAGACTCTGGAGAAAGCAAGGAAGCAGAAAGCAAGCACGTCTCACTATCTTGAGGCAATAGGTACTGTATAGAGCCGTGTGGGGCATGTGTCCTGGTCACAATGATAAGTGACATGGAGAAACTGAGACAGCGGTACAAGAATGCCATAGGACTCATCGTCTTTTATTCCTGGTGCATGTCAGCTGGGGTAGAATTGTCCCAAAGTCTTTGTGTTCCAGAAACAGCTGTAAATATGAAGTGCTGCAGAAAACAATGGTTTCCTTGAAGGCTGTCTGACAGTTCTCAACTTGTGGGTCACAACCCTTTTTAACAAACTTCTGTCTCAAAAAATATTTACATTACCATTCCTAACAGTAGCAAAGTTACGTTATGAAGTAGCAACAAAAATAATTTTATGGTTGGGGGTCACCACAACATGAAGAACAGGTGTTAAAGGATCACAGCATTAGGAAGGTTGAGAATGAATGTGATAGTAGAAACTCTCACTTGCCACTGTCCCCATGAAGATGGTGGCTCTAAAGCTTTTGTCTTGCTTTTTGTGTTTGCCTAGGATGGCAAGTGAATAACACTAACATTTTCTTGATGTCTACTTCTTTCTTTTAAGAATAAATACTTTGAGAAATGTTTAAATATATATATATATATATGTGTGTGTATTTTGTCTTTCAGGAACACTAAAAAAGGTTTACTTTAAATCAAACGGCAGTGAACCGTTGGTCACTGATGGTGAAGTTGAAGTGCCTGGTGTTATCTACGTAAACGCAGTTTATAATGAGAGCGCAGAGGCACCCTCTACGTCCCCCAGCCAATCCACTCCAGCCTGGACGCCTAGAGCTCCTCCTCTCTCTGGGGACCAGAGTCACAGGAATACAAGTAAGTGTGAAGTTGCTGAACAGGAATGCCTTTGTGTCAGTGACAACTGACGCTCTGAAGTCACACAGGTACCTGGTGAGAGCCCTTCATTCTGAATACCTAGCGGATGTCTGTTCTTTAAATCTGAAATACAGGCATGCAATGCTCTGCAGGCAAGACTGGGACGGAGAAGGAAATATGATTCAACATTTCTGAGCTATAGCCCTTTGTAAAAGTTGCTTACTCCGTTAGGAGCTTAAGTTATTTATTAACTTAGTAAGCGAAGTCACTTGCTGTGTTCTCAGGTCCATGCTAGAGGGATTTCCCATCCACACAGAAAGAGGAGAGCATTATTAAAACTCACCCCATATGCTTTTGAGGTGTGCTTACAGTCTTTTATTTATTTATTATTTTTATTAAAATTTATTTACTTTATATCCTGATTGTAACCCCCTCTCTCATCTACTCCTGGTCCCACTCTTTCTCCCTCTTCCCCTTCATCCCCCTCCCCTAGTCCACTGAAAGGAGGAGTCCTCCTCCCCTACTGTCTGACCCTAGCTTATCAAGTCTCATCAGGACTGCCTGGAGCCTCTTCCTCTGTGGCCTGGCAAGATTGCCCTGCTGAGGGAAGTGATCAAAGAGTGCAACCAAGTTCATGTCAGAGACAGGCCCTGCTCCCCTTACTAGGACACCCACATGGAGGCTGAGATGCCCATGGGCTACATCTGAGCAGGTAGTCTAGGTCTTCTCCATGCATTGTCCTTGGTTGATGCATTAGTCTCTGCAGGACCTCTGGGCCTGGATTTTTTGGCTTTGTTGGTCTCCTTGTGGAACTTCTGTTCCCTCTAAGTCCTTCTATCTCCCCCTTCTTCCATAAGACTCCCTGCACTCTGCCCAGCATTTGGCTGTGGGTCTCTACCTCTGTTTCAATCCCCTGCTGGGTAGAGCCTTTCAGAGGACATCTATGTTTGCTCTCTAGTGCTTGTGTTCTTTGTCTCTTGCTTCCTTCTTTTATTAGTGGTGACAGTTACTTGACATTTTGGAGACTGAAAACGATCACACCTTCAGGAAAATGGAAAGTGCCAAACTCCTGCTGGGTGAACTCCAAGCAAAGGAGGAGTTAGTGTTTCTAGAAAAAGAGGTGGGCCAGAGAAAAAAGACAGAATAAGGAGACATCATACTATGGAATGTGACTCCATCCCTAGACAGCCCCAGACCTTCAGTAAGATTATCTCACTTCCAGAAGTGTGGTGGATTTGTGTGTAAAGACATTCTGCTACAAAATATGCGTGCACACGCGCGCACGCGCACGTGTGTGTGTGCGCGCGCGCACACACACACACACACACACACAATATGAAGGCCTTCTGTGAAGTTATCCTGCCTCTTTTTTTTAAACTCCCCTCAGCAAGATTATGTCATTAGAAATGATATAAAACTCATCCATCCATGGTCACATTGTTTCCTCTCCCATTCATGACACCTAGAAAAGGGGATCACATCTTAGTCCCAGCCAGAGTATTTATTTTCATTCTGAACTAAGAGGGGAAAAACCGAAGTTGACTTGGCGCTGTCACGGTATGGATTTGCTAGTGATGGAGAAAAAGCAGAGTTATTTTATTTCTCCAGTTCACAAAGGGCAGCATGTTTATATTTCTCTATTTCACAGCATACCTACAGGTTTTAGCCATCTCTTACAGTCAGTGTTCACCGGCGATCCAGGTGCAAGCAGGCTTATGACCTGGCGGCAATATTGCAAGGCAGAATTATGGCACGGTGAAATTATTTTCCTCAGGAGTTCAATTTCAGGGCTTCATCTTTTGCTCAAGCACTTCATTACTCTCAAGGACAGGGCTTTCCACCAGAAGTGAAGAAGCCGTTTACATAAAAACAGCCCAGTTAATGTGGTCGCAATTACAGCAACTGCTAATTGCTTCCTCCAAGAGGATTTGTCTGTAGTTTGAAAGTTCAGTCATTCATTAAGATTTGAATAAGTTTGACAAGTTCATATCCTGGAGAATAAACACACACACACACACACACACACACACACACACACACACACACACACACGCGCGCGCGCGCGGTGTTTGCTGTTGTTCAGTTTGGAATTTTGATAGAACCCTGACTTATTTTTTGTTTTTCTGTTTTGTTTTTGGTTTTTTTTTTTCTCTTCCTTGGGGTGGATATGAACTTATTTGGACATGTAGATGAAATCTGGGAGAAATCACAGTTGTCAGAGGCCTCTGACAATTTGCCCATCTGTGTTGCTCGTGTGCTTGAGAGTGACAGGATACGTGCCTCAGCTTAAACGTCAGTGTTTAAGGTGTGTGATCAAATCGGCACGTCCCGCGGTATTTGCTTAGTTGTTGGTGGCTATGAAGCTGTGTCTCTAGTCTCAGGACTCCTGGGCCTCCTCTCACTGGGCCTCCTCTCTTATGGCCTCTTTTACAGTGCTCAGGACATTGCTGCACACATCTTAGGCTCTCGAAGACGAGAGGGAGTCGTCTGGTTTTGGCTTTTCTGTTTTCTTTTGGTTTTATTGAGGGATAGCCGTGCTATTCTGATACAAAAGCGATTCCTTGAATGAAGAGGTGTAGCGTAGTCACTGAAAAATTTTAACATATGATTTGTCATTTTTGTTAGTGGCATCTGATCACACTTGATTTCATTTAACCAACTTTAAAGTGTCATTTACTATCTTTTAAAATATTAGCCTCTTGCAGAAAAACTGTTTTCTGTTTCATTTTCCTTGTTTCATTAATATTCTCCAACTGAGAGTTTTTAAATTTCCTGTCATATGTAAAAGCTATTGAAGTCTACCTTAGTCCTAAAATACCATGGCCAGACAGTCTACCTGGATGTCTTGGCCAGCTCTTGTCCAAATGTAGTTAGAAACAGTCCTGCTTAGAGAGACTTCCTCCTGGAGGACCCTCATGTCATGCAAAGGCTGAGAATTCGGCACTTACAAAGTGTTGTCTAGAATACACCGCATAACTGTATTACACTGTGTGGCAACACCAGCCTTTCTGCATGTGGGGTGGCTTCTTGTGACAGGCTATATCCTTCTGGGGTTTCCTTCCCCTCACTGTGAACTCCAAGGGCAATGTAGAGAAGGAAGTGAGCCACCATAAACTTTAATGCGGTGTTTTAGCAAGAGATTTTTTTTTTTAGGTTTTGTGCTATATCTGGGTTTCAATTTATATTATAAATACTTAAACACATGTTGAAAGAAAGGGAAAAACTGGCTAGGAAGAGGTTGGGGAATCAGATGAGTGACTCACACTGAGGAAGACGGTGCTCTGGTCAAGTGTCAGAGTGGCTTGATGTTCTGAGAACTTCACGTGTTCTGTTATCTTTTCAGATCTCCGGTGGCCAGCCCTTAGATGTCCTATTTCAGATAAAAGGGTGTCTTCATTTTCATTCATTCATGTCTTAAGAATAACTTTTTAAAAAGAAAAACTGAAACAAAAGGACATGAAAGCAGGATGGGAGCTCAGTGGGAGGAAGGTTAGGGGTGGAAGATGAGTGAGAGGGAGGAGAGAGATCTGTGACTAGAATGCATTCTATGCAAGTATCATACTGTCAAAGAACAAATTAATAAAGCAAGTAACTGCTTCCTAAGATGTCATCAACATGTTAAGCCTTATCTTTTCAATCTGTATAGTTCAGCAGTTTTAAATGTATTTATTAAGTTGTGCAATTATTACTACTACTTAATTTAACTTTCTTTGGCTGCAAAAAAAAATGCTGTATCTATTGTTCCATATTACCTTTGTATAAAATCCCTAGCCTAAACTAATTATGTCTCCATGGGTTTGCTCATTTTGAAACTTGCAGACGTGTTTAGCCTGAGGCTCATGGCCTGCATCTTGGCCTCAAAACTCAGAGCGGATTTAGAACATTAATGAAATGTTTTTCAGGACTCAGTGTGTGCTTTGTAGATGACAACGTGGTGTCTCAATGTTAAAAAGTTAGCCATATGTGGAAGGTCATCAGACAACACAGGCTTCTTTCCTTTAGGATGCTTTCTGGGTGAATTCATGTCAGATATGATGACTTCATCCTGTTCTTAGTGCTAAGTAATATTCCGTCAAATGGACATGTAACATTTTACCTGTCCACCTCTCCAATACCGATACCTGAGTTGTGCCCATCTTTTTAGCAGCCATGAATTATACAATTGTGTCTGTTTGTGTTCAAGCTGTGGTATAGACACGTGCTTCCAATTTTCTTTGGGTTATAAGGGAAGTAGAAATGTGTTGTTATTTCTCTACTTTCTTAATTGTTGTCTGTCTAGTTGTTTTATCCACTACCAAGAGTGGGTATTGAAGCCTCCCACTGTTCTCATTGTCACCACCACCACTGCCAAATCTACCACCATCATCACACCAAGTTACTCTTAGTCATTTTCTTAGTTCTAGGGCTTGAGGTGTATTTGAATTATCTAAGAATTCTATGTAAATATTCTTAATTGTATGTTTTTCTTTAAAGGGTTATAAAATAATTTAAGTCTTTTCTAGAACGCCTGGCAAAACAATGTATAACAGTCATCACTATAGAGTTTGGGTGTTCATTTGAGTTTCTATACATGATTATATCACTACTTAGTTCTATTATTATAGCTTACTTATTAAATAACTATAAGAAAGGAATGAAGCACACACTTGATTTTCTACTCTGTTGAAGACCAAACATGTTTCTGAAGATAACCTCTATAGCAGCTCAGATAGAGAAAAAAATGGCCACACACTCACTCAGCCAAGATCAGCATAGTAGAAGCTTCCTGAGTATGTCACTTTTGTTAAAGTGACCAGCTTTGTACTCAGGTTATTTTAGCAGAACCATGTGCATATTAGCTAATTGTTAAGTAATTTAAATTCTGTTAGTTTTGCTTATATTTCTTCTATAATATCCGGGGGTTTATATCTAATTATGTGTGTGCCTGTAAAAAAAAAAAAAACTTTCTTTGTGTGAACAGTGTTGTATATTAGATGACAGTTCTTCAGGATGAACTGCAT